ATATCACGAGGTCACGTGACCTCGGACCTCACAACACCTCAGTGATCCGAGCGTCACACCAACAGAACACCAATTTAATCAACATATCAGTCACAGGTTATGAGCCCTCGTGGCATCATTTTATCGTCAAAAAACCACCGCTTTCATCAGTTTTTCGATAAAAACTCCCCTCACACACTGATATCCTTGATATCATCATCTTTTAAAGCTTCTTTTTCACTACACGGAAGGTAGGGAAGCCTCCGAGGCGTTCTCGCCGGCTTGGCACCCAAGCCCGACCCCTATCATTCGTCCTCCCACCACGCGAGCGGCGTGGCACCCACCCTACGATGTCATCATCAAACGACCCTTTTGACATCGACGTTTCCAAAGCCGTTCCAAAGCTTAAGGGCCAGTCTAATTGGCTATCCTGGCAGAGAAATTTACGCAATTATCTAAGATCCAAGACTCCGGAAGCCTGGGAATTGCTTCAGGGCAACCATCTGCTTCCTGAGGAACCTGGTCTATATCCAGAAGGCCACGACGAGAATATTTAAATCCTTGCCGCTCGTGCGTCCGAAAATGGGGCTATCCCTACGCAGGAAGACCTCCAACGTAGCATCGAGGAAGCTAAACAAAGGAATCGCGCCTTAATAGCTACATACAACAGTGATGTACGTAAGTGGAATCAGCTGAACTACTCAGTTCTTGTTATTCTGGGTGCTACGTGCGAGGCCAGCCCTGCAGCACGTTTCCAGAACTGTGATACAGCCACGGAGGCATACAAACTTCTTCAACAAGCCTACGAGACCGCCAGCTTCGCTACTACCGTTCGTCTCTATAACAAGTGGGCGTCGATACGTTACAACGGCACAAATAGTCAAGAGTCTTTTCTTACCAAGTTCGCGGATGCCCTCAACGAGCTACGCGGCGTCAAGGCGGTTGACGATGAAACCGAACTTCTGCAGTTCTTCACTGCAATACAGGACGTTCCTGCGTTGCAGCCGTTCATCACCAACCAGTATATGTCCTTGACAGGCAACGCAGTTCCCTCGTCTGTGTACGCTCAATTCACTCAGTTTGAATACACTCGTAAGAACCAGTTCGGCCAGCTATCTACGCACGCCGTCAACAACAAGCCTGCGGGCAACTTCAACAACAACAATAACCACGGCGTTGATCGCAGTGTTCGAGGCCGAGGTCGTGGACGTGGCCGCGGACGCGGTGACGCTCAGTCACGCGGTGGAGGCAACACCAGTTCTATTCATTTTGAACGTGAACAACTAGACGCCGCTGATAGGAACTCTATATTCTGCACATTTCATCAGCGTAACGGGAATCATTTCTCAAGCAAGTGTTCGTTGAATCCGGCCAATAAGAAAGACACGAGCACTTCCGCCAACACTGTATCTGCGCCGGCGAAGGCTATGCCGCTGTCAGAACTACCATCCACGAATGCAGTCAACATTGACTTTGACTCGCTTGGTGCATTCGCTGCCTCACTTCGTTTCAACGTCGCTACCGTGACAGACGAAGACGCGCGTCCGAATCACACCTACGAATGGATGCTTGACTCCGGAACCGTTGAAAGTATGACATATTCAAAGCATCACTTCTTGACCTTCACCCCCTGCGAGCGCTGGGCCAGAACTGCTACGGATGAACACTTCAAGACCGCCGGCTACGGTGCCGTATCTATAGAACTCGCCGACGAGAAGGGCAGACCGTCTGGTCTTCTCGAACTGGACCGTGTCTGGCTTGCACCTGCACTATCACATAACCTCATTTCGTGTAAGCAGCTTGCACGTCTCGGAGTTCAAACACATATCGAGACTGACGACATCACCGTTCTCATGAAAAACGGCGAAAAGATCGGCTACGCTGTCTCTGATACTGCTCAGTATTTTCTGCATACAACCGGTCAGACGAGCCGTGAGGCTATCCGCAGTCTATACAGCTGCGGAGCCCTGACTCGCTCACCACCTATTGATATCACTGTCCACGCGGTCAAGAAGCCACTTCCATCACCGATCTCGATACATCTGGCTCACCGCCGCACTGCACACGCCTCCGAGCGAAAGATCCGTGATACGATTCGACACGTTGTCGGCTTTGACGTCAAAAAGGGCACCTTGGCATCTCCCTGCGAGCCCTGCCTTCGCGGAAAGGGTCAGGCGTTGCCCGTTTCACATAATGAACCACGCGATCTTGGTCTTCGAGTTGGAGATCTTATTCATACTGACGTTTGTGGCCCACTTCCTACACGTGGTCAAACCGGGGCATATTACTTCGTCACTTTCACCGATCATGCCTCCCGATATTGCTGGGTGTTTCTGCTTAAGGAACGCAGTGAGGTCCGTGATAAATTCACAGAACTATCTGAAACGTCAACTGAATATCGATATTAAACGTGTTCATGCCGACAACGCACCTGAACACCAACCTTTATCGACATATTGCCAGGAACAAGGCATCGTGTGGGACCCTGCACCTCGTTATCGTTCAAACCTTAATCCAATTGCTGAAATCAAGAATCGCCTCCTTGTTGAACCGGCTATATCAGTCATGGCGGACAATCAACTGCCTCGCTTTCTCTGGGACCATATCGTTCTCGCGATCTGCTACATCCAAAATCGCCTCATCCACAGTGCCATTGGTAAGACACCATATGAAGCGCTATATGGCGTGCAACCGGACCTCTCCCGATGGAGGGCTCTGGGTTGTCGCTGCTGGCATCTTACACCCAAGAAGACTCGTGATAAACTGGAAGATCACATGCAGGAAGGTCGCTTCGTCGGCTACAGTGAGTCCGTGTATAAGATATACGATATTAAAACTCGTCAAATCGTCTACGCACGCGACGTCATCTTCAATGAAGAACCGATCTCTCAAATGCCCACAACGACGCCAGCGTACGACCTTGATTCAGCACGTCACAACGCCAAAGGCATGGAGGAAGCCGTCACAGATGATCCTTGCCGCTGGTCTCCACTTGCTATGCTTCCTGAACGTCAGGAGCGTATTCCCATTGAAATCCCAGCCTTTCCAGCTGAGGAGAACACTGAAAGCACTAACGATCCGGATTGGCTGATCGAGTATAAGCAGACCGGCATACTGCCACCGCTGAGCTTCTCAAATGACACCGTCCGTGACACTCCCGCTACACCAAATCATGATGCAGTTGACACCTCTATCCGTAATACTACTAACACCCCGCCTCCTATCATTGAGGACGACGGGTCTGACGACGAACTCATCGTACTGGACAGGCCGAATAACAGTAGATCCCATTCAACGCCTGCGACGGCGCTTAAACAACCACTTCGTCGATCGACACGTATTCGTAAGCCCTCGCGAGCACTTCTTGAATCATTAAACTCACACGTTATCGATGTCAATGAGGATCCTGACATGAATGTTGACTCGCTGTTTCAACTCCTTATTGACAATCATCTCGCCCACGCCATCTATCTTGATACTGCAGCTACCCAGCCACCCGCTGAACCACCTCCGCAAACTGGGGGGTCTCCTTCCGCGAAGAAACTAACACCGCAGGACGTCGGCTATACTCCCACTACGTACGCCGACGCGATGGCTTGTGTTGAAGCAGAGAAATGGCGTGAAGCCGCTCATCGCGAGATGAGGCAACAAGTCAAACAAGGCACGTTCCGCATCGTTCCGCGTCTACCCAATCTACGACTTCTCCCTCTTAAATGGGTGTGGAAGATCAAACACGATGGCACGTACAAGGCACGCCTCGTTGTTAAGGGCTTCCGCCAGCGGGCCGGAAAGGATTATCAGATTGGTGAGATCTACGCGGCCGTTGCGAAAAGCGTCAGTTTCAAGATCTTCGTCGCCCTCGCAGCTATGCTTGACTGGGTCCTGTACAGCCTCGACGTCGTTTCTGCGTTCCTCAACGCTGAACTACGTGAACCGATATACATTGAATTACCGGAAGGCTTCCAGGAGAACGGTAAGTGCGGCGAACTCGTCAAGTCGTTATATGGCCTCAAGCAGGCACCGCGTGAGTGGTATGATATGTTACATGATTTCCTCACCGCGAACGGCTTCAAGCGCCTGCATGCAGACCACTCCGTGTTCATTGGAAAGTGTCTTTTCATACTTGTTTACGTCGATGATCTTCTTCTACTGGCACAGGATATCTCCGTGGTTGATTCCTTCAAGAAGCTGCTCAGCAAGCTTGTCAACTTCACCGACAACGGTATCTGCACTCGCTTTCTCGGAATCGACATCATTCGTACGAACGAAGGCATTTATCTCTCGCAGAAGTCATATATTGAAGACTGCCTTAAGCGCTTCGGCATGTCGACCTGCAAAACCTCTCCCATACCATTTAACTGCAAAAATCCTTTGCCGAAATACACAGGAACCGCGCACCCTGACGACGTTAAGTTATATCAGGAACGCAACGGTGCACTTATCTGGATCATGTTTAACACACGCCCGGATATCGCGTACGCAACCAGCAAGCTGTCGTCCTTCGCCGCGAACCCTGATAAGCCTCATGTCCAAGCCATGACTCTCGTCTGGCGTTATCTCGCTGGGTCACTGGACCGTCATCCGTTCTATCGCCGTGGAGGTCCTGGCCTTATTGGCTACTGTGATGCTGAATGGGCGGGTCCATACTCACTTAATGCTAACTCGACGTCAGGATACGTTTTCCAACTCGCTGGCGGTCCTGTGTCATGGAGTTCTAAACGTCAAACCGCTATCGCACTATCTTCCACCGAGAGTGAGTATATTGCTCAGGCCGTCGCTACTCAGGAACTTCTCTGGCTTCAACTACTCTTCACCGAACTCGATATCCAGCGTTTCAAGGCCACGCCGGTGCTGATGACCAAGCCCACTGTAATCCGCGCAGATAATCAATCCGCCATAGCCCTTGCTAAAAATCCTGAGTTCCACGCGAGAACGAAGCACATATCCATCAAGTGGCACTTTATACGGCGCGAAGTACGTGCGAAAAACGTCGAATTCGTCTATATCAGCACGACTAAGCAGGCCGCCGACGGTCTCACGAAACCGCTTGAACGCGTGGCGTACGCCCGCTTCATCAACCAGCTCGGTATGGTGGACCATGTAATCTAATTTCTCTGTATCTACACTACATCTCCTTCCTATTTCGGAAACGCGAGCAGCCTCACGTCTTCCTTGTTTGTACGTAACTTGGTGTCTGACGTCCTCGGTCATGGGGGGTGTACGATATCACGAGGTCACGTGACCTCGGACCTCACAACACCTCAGTGATCCGAGCGTCACACCAACAGAACACCAATTTAATCAACATATCA